TCGAACAGGGTGCGGTGGACCACCTCAGCCTCATTTTGCTACCAGCGGTGAGCGGTGACCCGGACGCCGTTTCCCTGTTCAATCCGATGCCCGGAAAGAAGCTGCCTATTGCTGAGTTTGACCTGGAGCACGTGGAGAAGCTTGTTGACGGTGGTCTCTGGCTCCGGTACAACCGCAAAGCGTAACCTACTGCGTCGCTTTGCGCTCCAATGTTTGTTTTCTATTGTACTCACTGAAACCGTATGTTTCATCCCTGGTTCTCTACATAATCTGAGTGCCTGTGAAGACGCTCAAGGCATGGGAGAACCGCTGCCTGGCAGCGTTATTAGCCACTGCAATCGATGCTCTGCGTGCCCCATCGCGCCACTGCGTCACACCCTCATCCTCCACTTTCCTCTGCTCGCTGACATCCACCTACGTGCCACACATGTTTCCCGTGGTCGTTTCATTTTTCAAACGGGAAGGGTTCTGTGGCGCTTCATTAGGAAAGCAGTGGTCGTTTGCTCGTTCAGCAACAACGGCAAGAAAGAAAACGGTTGGGGGAGGGGGGATCGGATGCTCTCAACCAACGTCTCCGTCAACGTGTGCTCTACGCCGTTGCTGGGACGTGGAAGGGGAGAGACGACGGCATCTCATCTTTTCAACCCCTCCTCCCCTTTTCTCGTAGGGGCCCCCAGTGCCCTCTATTTCTTGCCTGCTGCACGGCGCGCGAATTGTATGTGTCGCTCATCATATTGACATCCTGTCTGCAATGAACACTCTTTCTTCTACTTTCGCAGTTCTTTTCGGACACGAAGTGTGGTGTCCGGAACGATGCACGCACGAGGTCTGCAGCGGGGGCGTCTCTCCGCCTGCGCGGCCTTGCCTGCAATTGCACCCGAAGTGGCGGATGCCTACCGCCGAGCGCTGGCTCCTCTTCGAGCCTTTCCTGCGCACGAGGGAAAGGATATGTGCTTCCCGGTGACGACGCTGATCAGAGGGAGAGCAACCTGCGCGAGATCGTACTCCAGCGCCTCGCCGCACGCTTTTTCCTTCCGTTGCAGCTTTGCATGTTCCGTTTCTTTTAGCTGCGTGTTGAAGCACCTCGCCTTTCTTCGCCCTCCTTTGCCTCTCGTCCCCTTCCCTCTGGTGTGCCCTCTGTCTGGCCTTTGCGTTGTGGTAAGAATGAGAATAGCACGAGCCTCTCCGTGCCCTTCGTTGCATCTGATTTCTACGCTGAACACTAAAAGCCACTCAACGCCTTCTTTGCTGCTTTGTTGCTTTGCTGCTCTTGCATTCTCGATCAAGACCTGCGCTACAAACGAGCTTCCGAATGACTACTCCCTCCACCGTCACCGCAGCCATCCAGATGGGGGTCACCTTGGATGGTAAAATCAGCGGCGATTTCTCGCGGCTCTCAAACCCGGGTACGTTCGCCCGTGCCGCTTACCGTATCGACAACGAGTACTTCAAGCCCAAGACGCAGGTGTGCCTGGTCGGGCGCAAGACAAAGGAGACTTCTGTGGACCTGGAGTCCCCTGAGAACTACCCCGTCTCCGACCGGAAGGGTGATCGCAGCGACTTCCACGCCGACTTGGAGACGAACCCCGCACCTCCCAGCAACCATTACTACGCCTGGCTGGACCCGCACGGTCGCCTTGGCTGGAAGACGAACATTCGATACAACGAGAGGTTTCCCTTTCCTTTTTGCGATTGCTGTTGGTGCTGTCGTCGTTGTAACGATCACGAACATACTACGATAGTGGTAGAAGTTGGAGAGAGAAGAGCTTATGGTAAATAAATAAGAGAAATTGATAAGAGAAATTGAGAAGATAAATAGAAATTACGATTCCGTTTTTTAAGGTTACGTACAACGGATATAATAATGTCACACGGGTGGTGACCAGGGCTGTTGCTCACGCCTTGCGTGTGTAGCGCAGCCACACGCACCCAGCATCCAGCTTCTCCACGTGCTCCAGGTCAAACTCCTTCATCTGAAGCTTCTTGCCAGGCATCGGATTGAACAGGGAAACGGCGTCCGGGTCACCACACACCACCGGCATCAGCACCAAGCTGAGCTGGCTCACCAAGCCCTCATCCAGCAGCGAGCCAGCGAGGGTGCCGCCGCCGTGGCACACCACAGTGTCCGTCTTGAACAGCTTGCCCAGCTTCTCCAGCGCCAGGCGGCAGTCCAGCGCGGACTTGCCAGCAAAGATGTACGGCACGTTCACCTTGCGCAGCTGCGCGAGGAACTCGTCCGTCACGAAGTCCTCCACAAGCACCTCGACGATGCGGTCACCGTTGTAATACGACCAAAATGGCAAGTCGTATGTCCACCTATTTTTTTGATAGTTTACGAAAAGAATGGAATGATGAAAAGAGTAAGAATGATACGAGGAGGATGAGGAACAATGGCTCCGACGTTTGCTGATGACATGTTTTCTACCTCTACTACTCTCCTTTGCTCTTCTCCTTCGCCTTATCTTTGGGACTTGCAGAATCAAAGTTCTCACACAACTTTTGAGTTTTTTCTTTTCCACCCACCCACCCCCGTGGTTTCCCACCACGACAGGGATCCTTGGGTTTAACCAATTCAACGACCCTTGTTTGCCACTTCGTTGGTAGTGCTACCTATTAGAAATGGAAAAAGAGGAAATCGCCAAGTGCAGTTCACCACCGCCCCCTGACGTTGTAGGGGGTAAGTTTGGCAGCGGGACGCTGCGCGGGGTGAATGGATAATATATTGGAGGTCCATCGCGAGTTTGGAGGGTGGAATCAGGTCTCAGCTAATGCATCTCTCTCGGACTCTTTGCACCTCTCGATTCTTCTATTCTCGTGCGCTGCTCGGCGATGTGTGTGGAAAAGAACCTGCCGAATAATGTCGAACGCACGGCGCCCAGCACAGCCGAGTGCCCCCGCATTTGTTTTTGCGTCGCGGCGCCGTCCGCTTCTCGCGCTTGCCGTTGCGCTTTCCCGCTTGTCTTCGCGGCCGTTCTCGCTGCGCGGCTTTTCGGTCACTGCCTATTGCCGCCGCGTTCGGCCGCGCGCCAGCCCCCGCCCCCCGGCGCTGGGCAGGGCGGCCAGGCCGGCCGCTTGGGCGTGTGCGGAGC